ATCGAACTCGGGGTCCGTTTCGCCAGGGGTCGACGGCGGGAGGTTGTAGATGGACTCTGAGTCCTGTTCCATCATCCCCACAAAGCCTAACTCGAAGAGCGTGGCGGCATCCCTCATTCCTGAGGGCAGTGCCATGCGGGGGTCCCTGAATTTGGCCTCTGGTGGTATGAGCCCGCTCCCTGAGAGTTGGGCGAAGGCGTTGGCCAGCATGTAGAGAACGTGCCGGATTTGATCCGGCTAAGGGTTCGTCCTATGGTAGGTATCGATCCTACATGCTAGCGCATTAGGATCGATGACCGCCGCACTGGCGTGGGCCGGCCCGTGGTCGAGCGTTGGGGTGTGCGGCGGTGCCGTATCCCCTTCGTTGAGACGTAGCTGACGTAGGTGGACGGCTATGAAGTCCAAGTCCCTGAAGTGAAGAGCTTGGCCGGGGAGAAGACCTAGAAGCGGGCGTTGGCTCGTTGGCGTCGGCGAACTCGAGGCTTTCGAAGCGGATGCGGCCACCGGGGGCCATGCCAAGAGCAAGTCCGATGTAGGAGCAGGGAGCCATCGCTTCCTTCTCAACAAAGAGAGTACGCGAATGTCCCCTACTTGGTTCGCCAACTGTCGATGTTTTGTCACCCGATGAGTGAATTTATACGAATGTCGTGTTGCTCCAAGAGGACAATGGTAGCATCCAAAGACACAAGGAATTATACTGGTTCAGGCCGGAGCCCTACATCCCGTCTCAGAGATAGATCGAGTGCGTGTTCCTCGGTTGAATGCTCTGAAGTTCTTACAATGGGGTATGCAAGAAGAGTGAAAGAGGTAGGAGAGTGGAGAGGGACTGCCCGATTGAAGTCTCAAGAGTCTGTCCCTTTGGAAGGCTGCCCTGGTTGTCCTTATATAGAGTCCGGGGCCAGGCCACATACAAAGAGTTAGGTTATCCCGACCGGGTGGTCGTGAGCCTGAGGGAGGGGAAACTAGATATCTTGGCTTGCAAGGAAGGTCGTCTTGTCATGGCGTCTGCGTATGTCCGAACGTGGTTCTCATCATGGTCTTGTGCCCACGTCGTGGCATGGGGTGGCGGGTGCTATAGTGCTGGCCGTGTCGGCACTGTTTGAACGGTAGTGGTAAACCAGCCGTCCTGTGCGACGTGGTCTCGCCGTGGCCTTCATCATTCTTTCCTGTTCTCCCGGGGGCGTCATACATGAGTTGGTAGCTGTCCCCGGGTCGTCAGTTGTCTTGCTGGTCATGGAGCCATTGACCATGGTCCGGAGCTCCGGGGCCTTGGTCTCCGTTAAGCTTGCTGGCCTTGGAAGTCAAGACCGTGAGTTGTGAGCCCCATCCGTGGTGGGTAACAAAAGACACCATAATTTAAGTTAAAGGATTCAACTAAATGTACATTATGGACACACAGAAGTGATATACAGGTGGGCAAAATTATGAATATAAATGTAAATATAAAATAGAGTATAACTGGTAAGTTTACAGTATATTACGACTAGGTAGAGATCACGTGTAGTATGTCTGAAAACAAAGAGTAAGTGATAGCATAAGAATGATTATTCTGTATCAGTCATGGGTATTTTAACACGAACTTGTAATAATGCTTTCGTCTACTAAGAGTCTTCCCGCATATAGGAGTCAGCAGTGGTGTATCGATGGACTGGTGCATGGAGAAATATGTATACAATCTCCTGACTTGATTGAATCGCGCGCATTAGCGGAAGTACCAATCACTGCCGGGATTCCCCGTCGGATCCGGATCATCATCAGGAGCACCGACGTTCCTATAAAAATCTGGGATCCCGTCAGGACTGCCGAAGCTGAGGTCGTAGTCGTCAACGGAGTCGTCCGGTAGCCTCAGCATTTGCAGCCTCGCACACTCCGCTCGCACCTCATCGTTCATCTTGACGTTGAAGCAGTGTCGGATGTCGAGAGACTCGAGATGCACGCAGCCACGGAGGATTGTCGTGAGGCCGACGTTGCCAAGGCTGTTGCCGAAGAGTTGCAGGAACTGCAGGCCGCGCATCTTCCCAATCTCCGTGGCTTCGCTGTCGCCGATGCCGGACAGCCAGTGGAAACAGTATTTGTTCAGCCGGAGGCGCTTCAGGAGCGGGCAGGCCTCGGCCACTGCGTTGCAGGTCTCAGCGAGGCTGAAGAAGCTGGATGTGGTGGCCGCGTCTGAGTGGAGTGACAGTTCTAGCTCCTCAAGCATGTGGAACTTCCTTATTCCTTCGTTGAGGCCGTGCTTGGAGATGCTCTTGCACGAGATGAGGCGAAGACTCTTCAGTTGCGGAGCATTGCAGGAGCAGTACATGGATACAGACAAAATTTTGGTCCTTACTTTATCCAAAAACGAAATATATTTGTTTACTAAAAATCTGAGTACTTTACAAGAAATACCTTCTTTCATGGTTTACACTAGGGTGAAGTCCACCATATTTCACTATCAAACTTTTGCATGAGTTCGTTTCTTGTCACGCTAGTATTGTCACTCTAAACACTGAAAATTTTTTACCAGTGAATCACTAGCTAGTACCGGACAAGTTTAGCAATCCGCTAACTGCTTAAGGTGATTTTATGTTTTCTAATTTTTAATAATAATAGTAACCGGTAGTTTAGTTCTAAATGTTCGACACCGATCTTGTAGGTGCTACCTTTACCAAATATATATAGAATTCCAATTAGAATGACTTCGCTAGCCCTCCAAAAATAATTTGATTAATTCGACTACAATATATTTGATACACTATTTGGACTATGGACTCTCTTGTCAACCTCTAAGTTTAATATAACACAAAATGGTGATTTAAAGAAATATCAAGCACGTCTATGCGCTAAAACACTATGAACAAGTACAAATAAAGTCTAATAAATAACTCAAAATCTAGAACCAATAGGCACATTATACTTTTTGAAAATAAGACACCTGTTCCACCTGCGGAGCTGGTCCATATCAGCAGATTTTGAATGCGCGGTGTTATAGATGGTATTATGTGCTCATGGAGGGGTGTATCAATGGGAGGTTCTAGGTATCTGCTGCATATGTGATGAGCTACTGAGGGCGTTAGCCCTTATAGGTGTGGGGGTTCAATGTAACACCCACCCCATTAAAGGTTGTAGTAGTTGTGTTGTTGGCCCATGTGGCACATAAGAAGTTATAGTTTGTTGGATTTGGTACCACCTTGTAAGTTTATAAGGGTGAAGGTGGCCTTATAATCGTTGTCATTCCAAACATAGCATCTCTAGGTTAATGTTTTTAAATGAAGCGAGGACGAAAGTATAAGAGATGTGCTACGTGTATGCAGGCCCATTCCACGTGCGGAGCTGATCCATATAAGAAGATTTTGGATGTGCAGGGTTTTACAACTTTGACTTAACTTTGACGCAGGGTGTTACAACTTTGACTTAACTTTGACTTAATTGTTACTAGGATATGCTTGGCAGATATCAATCAAATCTAGGTCCATATCATTGGAAAGCAATTAAGAAAGTCTTGTGTTATTTGCATGGACCTAATTAAAAATTACATGTTCAAGTAAATGAAATAGGATAACCTTGAGGTTGTAGGTTATTCAGATGTTGATTTTGCGGGGTGTAACCTTGAGGTTGTAGGTTATTCATATGTTGATTTTGCGGGGTGTAACCTTGAGGTTGTAGGTTATTCAGATGTTGATTTTGCGGGGTGTGTAGATACTAAGTAATCTACATCAGGCTATATCTTCACCCTCGATAGAGGACTATTTCAAGGAAAAGCTCAAAGCAAGTGTTACTGCACGTTGACAATGTTGGGAGAATTATTGTGGCGTGTTACAAGGCTGTTGGCTAGGCAATACGGTTAATGAATTTTGTCCCAGGATTATGAGTGGTTGACAGCATATCTAATAAATGACTCACATCTGCGATAATCAATAGACGGTTATCTATCTGAGTATTAAGAAGTCAAATGGTGCTGCCAAACACATTGACAATAATTATCATATTGTGAAAGATAGAATCCATGATGATACCATTATATTGATGTTAAATATACGCAAGGTTGATGTTGGCGGATTCTCTTGTAAAGGCCTACTACCTATTGTATTCAATACACCTGTTGCCAGCATGGGTATGGTAGAGAGCCTCAGATTCTTGAATTATAGTGGAACAATCATGTAAATACTCTCTATATTTGTATGAATAATCTTATTTTTAAATGAAATGGTATACTACAGTGACTAGGATTCAATAGCACTTAATTGACTATTCTGATCCAATGTCTTGGTATGTTGTTTTATTGAGATATGGTTGATTAACAAGCTAAGTGTGTGAATTAATGACAAAGAAATCATGGCTTGTTGTCCAAGCCAGAGAGGAGCTTAGTTGTGCCTTGATTAGGGGCTAAATCCACCTAATAAGGACCAACCCAAAAACCAACCTATGGGCATGTTTGGTTGCTATGGAATAACCTCCAGGATAGATTCCTGGCTGGATTGCTTTGTTAACTTGAATAATCATCATCAGCAGGAACGGTTCTTGGGCTCGTTCCAGAACAACCGAACGAGCCCTAAAGGTATGTTCCCTAGTGTGCAATAGCCTGTATAAAAGAAGATAAACGCCCATGGTCCGGTCAATCCATCCTAAGATATAGCCATTGATCAGGCAGCTGTTGTTGGACCGGGAAGGCAACCTAAGCTCTATATCTCGTCTAGATCTCGCATGTATCAAGCATGCACGGGACTTCAGCGAGCCAATGGCTAATTCATCAAACGAAGGTTTGTTCAATATGTGTTCTTCATGTTCATTCTGGTCCTAAAGCTTATGATCCTACAAATCGAACAATAGTAACACAAGTATATTTCATATCCCATAAAGGCTAGAAATTCAAGTATATACTCGGTCAATCGGACTGTCGGAGTAACATATTTATATCCTCGCAAATTAAAAAGAACATATTTATATGCAGCATCATCCACGGTTGCTAAATTTGTTTAGTATCATTAGAAAATTTCTGAAGAAAGAAGAGGAAAAGTTGCTCACGCGTCCGCAAGGAAGAGGAAGAACTGGTCACGGTCGACGCCGAAGTCCTGAGCCCAGAAGGCCTCGCACTGGCCCGCGCTGCGTCTCACGGCAGCGCGCGCGGCTGGCTGGAGGTCGACGCGGCTGGCTAGCTGGGCGTGGTGGCTCATGTCGATGTGGCGCCACAGGTCGGGCTTGTCTTGCGTGACGTGGCGCCAGGGCCGGCAAACATGGCCGGGCCCCATGAGGATGTCGACGACATCCAGCCGGCGAAGCACGGCCAGCAGCGCGTCCTGTGGCAGGTCCGCCACCCAGTCCCTCGTTTCCTCCTCCGAACCCTTACCTTCCGTAGGTAGCAGCTGCTCCGGAAGGAGATGTGGGTTCGAAGAAGACGCGGCCATCGATCGCCGTCTGGCCGGTGACCTTGCTAGGATGTCGTATTGTCGTGGTTGAGAGAGTCTCCTGGCACCCCGCTGCGCTTATATGGAGCAGAGGTTGGATGCGAGGGCGGACCGATCGAAGTCGAAGGTCCATTTCACCGTCGGCGTTATGTCGTTGGTGCTGGCTCACTAGAAAGCGACATGTTTGTAGCTTAGCCGTTACTTAGATTCTTGAGAAAGTCATGGAAATTCACTACAAGTTCGCTACAGTCGGATAAGCTAGCATTTTTTTGATAGTGTATAAGTTGTTTATAGGGGGATTTTATTTTTATGTGATTACTAATTAATTTACTATAGAGATATAAACAGTGGTGGATCCAAAAAAGAGGTAGGGGGGCTAGACATAATACAAGGCCACTATGTAATAAGTATCTAAGTTATCTAAACCCAAGTCATATACCAATATCCAAATCCAGCCCATCACTATTGGAAACAGAGCATTTGCCGAGTGTCAAAAATCGGACACTCGGCAAAGACCTTCTTTGTCGAGTGCCACACTTGGCAAAGAACTGCACTCGGCAAAGGACTTCTTTGCCGAGTGCCAGACTCTCGGCAAATGCGCGGCACTCGGCATAGGCTGCCCCGCGTAACGGTGTTCGGCCACGTCCTTCTTTGCCGAGTGCCTGTTGTTAGGCACTTGGCAAAGTTTTTTTTTTGGAAAATACTTTGCCGAGTGCCTCTGACATGACACACGGCAAAGATTTAATTTTTTTTGAAATGTCTTTGTCGAGTGTCCCAGATCTAGCACTTGGCAAAATATTTTTTTTAAAAAAAATACTTTGCCGAGTGCCCCTGACACAGCACTCGGCAAAGATTTAATTTTTTTTGAAATGTCTTTGCCGAGTGTTCCTATGGAGGCACTCGACAAAGAGTAAATTTCTAAAAAAAAAAATCTTCTTTGCCGAGCGCCTTATTCTTGGCACTCGGCAAAGACCCCCTTTACCGAGTGCCATGCCCCGGCATTCTGCAAAGTTTTTTTTATTTTTTTTTTGTTTTTGGCCTCCAAATTTTTTGTGCAGTCCTTTTAAAGTATCAGGAACTCCTAATTAGAATTTGGGGATTTTTTTGTGGCTTTTTGATATATTTAGTTACTTTATTTCGTTTACTTAATTTTTTTCGAAAAATATAAATTTGAACTGCACGTGATACGGATAATGGAATTTAATGATTCAAAAAATGATAGTCATGTTAGTGAGTGTAGTGTGAGGCCATATCCAGGAATGGACCCGAAATTTCGGACATCTGGCTTACGAAACATGACCGCGAACTTGCGTGCGAAGTGTTTTTAAATTTTATAAAAAGCAAATGAAGTCCGAAAATCATGAAACTTGTTGAAATATCGTGATATCCTGTATGAAGGCTTTGATAAAAATTTCAGAACATTTGGTCCACGTTGTCACGTACGAGGCGGTCTTGTTGCCCGCTCCTTGCATCGCGCCGCCAAGCAGCGACCCCGGTGCTCCGTCCCCACGCATCACGGTGGAGGGGTGAGCGAGGAGAAGGTCGCAGATATCAGGCTGGGCGGCGACCCCGGTGCTCCGTCCCCTCGGCTCGTCTGCGCCACTGCCACAGGCTGCAGGTGCGCCATTCTGCTCCTCCCTGGAAACTGCTTGTTCGTGTTGGTGTTAGTGGTGAAATTTTAGAGTGGTGCGTGGGGCGAGGGCGTTCTCTCTGGCGATGGATTGGGTGGGTCTGCCCCCTGCCCGCAGCAGCAGTTTCCGGTTTTTGTCCGTTTGGGTGATTTGGAGTGCACTGTTGGACCGTTGGTCTGTCCGCCCATCAGTGGCACTAATTAGTTGTTTAGTGTGGAATTCAGAGCGATTTTAGTTTATATCTGCGGCTGAATTGCTCAATTGACAGCTGGCTTGCTATTTTAAGGAGGCTCAATCAGGGCTCTGTTTTGGAAACTGGAGCATCCTCTCATTACTCATCGCAGATCACACTTTCGTTTTATTCCCTCTTGGGTTGAACCAATGGTGCTGCCCAGCTACTAACATTGCTGAAATGTACTTGTACTTTACCATTATTATGTATACAGGGTCAGATTATGCTGATAACTAGCTATTGGACAGTTTTGCTGGTATAAGTGGGGAAATTTTGATCCACATGTTGGACAACGGAGAGATGATATGGATACTAGTGTAAACAATGATTCGAGCACTCCTTGAAAGCGCTTTCAGAAAATTAGCATTTCCTCAGTCTTCTTTGGCACCATAGTACCAAATGGTCACAGGTCTTAAATAGATTGAGCTATGCAATTGAGTAATGGATTTTGTGGAATTAGTTGTACTAGTTCATTTGGGAATATAAGTTTATGTAGATCTTCGTGACCTTCCAAATGTGCAGTGATTTTAGTGTCTAACGACAAGAATTTCTCCTCCTGGTAGTTTAGTTATGTAAGAAATGCATGACATGTAATTTGAAAGTTGCAACATATATGTAATGCTTACGCTCTGGATTTCTCAAGTTTTAGTAAAACTACTCTTATTAGTAGAACCCATAGATTTATGAGATTATGAGATACAAAATGATAGGAGAATGAAAAGTTACCATTGCAATTTATACTTACAGCGATACACAGTTTGTAAATTTGTGTCATATAATTGCATCGTCATCAATTTCGCAACAAATGATCATCTGGATAATTTAAAGCAGCTTAATTTTGCTCATGGATATCATAAGTGCAATAGAAAATTCTTCCTCAGTTTCCTTGTTAATCTAACCAATTGAACATTTTTTAATTTCCACACTAATTTCATTCCTTTTAGTTTTGATCATATTTACTACTGAAAGCTTCTCCCTTCCTTGATCCATTTTGTTTGTTTGTCCTTTGCTTATACTTTATCAAGTCTATGACTTAATTACCATATCATCTTTCCAAACTATAGGTTATTCAAACTGATATTTGAAGAGTTCACAGTACGCATTATTCCAAGAGATGCTCCTCCACTAGAATCTGTTGGACCACAAAAGTGTCTTGCTTTCAGCACAGATGGTGCCAAATTTGCCATTGGTGGAGAGGTATGGGTTTGTATTATATTGATTTCTGAATTTCGAGGGATCAAAGTTTTTCTTCTCATTTTCTTTGTTTTCCATTCCTATTGTTTGCTTCTTCTTTTGTTATACCTGCTATAAGAAGAAAGTTGTCAGCAGTTTATTTTAACTGTTTGTACATTTAAACCCTTCCTTTGTACATCCTATATTTTGAACCACTCTCTTGCATTTAAAACCCTTCCTTTGTACATGCTATGAAAACTATTTATTCTAAATGTTTCATTTGTTGTCTAGTCCTATTGTTCAATGCAGTGACTTATCTGATATCAATACTCTTTTTAGCTGAATCTGATACCAGTTGACTTGTTCTTTTGTACCACTGCTGGATGGGCATCTCAGAATATTCCATTGGCCAAGCATGAATGTGCTTTTGGATGAACCCAAAGCTCATAAATCCTTCCGAGACATGGATATCAGGTCAGTACAAGCTTAAAGCATTACTTTTCTTTTCTTATTGTTCACAGAGGAATTCCAGAAATATCATCATTAGATTAGCTAAATACTTATGTAAAATGGACACACTCACTAGAGTTGTCTTTTGAACTGGAAAAAAAAAGCATTGATAGTATAACATATAGTTAATTCCAAACCTACATCTCAACTTCTCTAGTGTCATGGTTTCTGGTTACTGGTCACTTCAATCATCACCAACTGATACAGCATTGGTGCCTTTCATTTTGTAGCTTAGACTCAGAGTTCTTAGTTTCAACATCCACTGATGGATCTGCAAGAATATGGAAGATAGATGAGGGCGCACCACTGGTCAACTTGACTCGATCCTCGGTATGCTATGATAAATTTCTTTTATTTTTGTTTACTTGTTGAGATGGTTGAAATTGATTTCTTTTCCCTACTTTTTTCTTTGTATGCCTACAGGATGAGAAGATTGAGTGTTGCCGCTTTTCTAGGGATGGCATGAAACCGTTCCTATTTTGCACTGTTGCAAAAGGTGCGCTTTTAATTGATCTTGAGAATTATACATATCTTGGAATTGAAGGCAGGCTGATTTTGACTAGATCTGTGTTCATCACTGGAGCAGGTTCCAAAGTTGTTACTGTTGTCTGGAGCAATGGCGATTGGAAGAGAATTGGGTACAAAAGACTTCTGGGAAAGCCTATCTCCACATTTCAGTTAGCTTGGATGGTAAGTATCTGGCATTGTGAGTGGATAAAATACTTCTGCTAGTGTTGTAGTACTGCTGTTGTATGAGCCCATTTAGCATTTCTAGGAACATCTACTTCTGCCAATTTTGGGATTAACATGCTGCATACTTCAGCATCTCCTAGTTAATGTTTTTTAATTCAAGAGTGTAGCCTATTTTTCAGTATGATTCTGCTTGCTTGTATATCTGATTATGTGTTCAACTCAAGTATTATATATTGACTTGACAGTCGTTGTCTATTAAACAATTAGTTGTACAATCTGATAACACTTTAATCTTGTTGGTAAGGGCATCAATTAACAATGGAGAGGAAGTCGTACTAGTTATGATTATCACTCTAACTATGCGCTGTATAATCTTTTAGCATGCTCACATGGATCTGTATTTCTTTCAGAGGAAGCAATGATGGTGACTTCTGTGCTGTTGATGTAAAGAAAATGGAAGTTTCTCACTGGAGCAAGAAAGTTCATCTTGGTTCCTCAGTCACCTCCATCGAGTTTTGTCCTACTGAAAGGTAACTATAGCTTGGCATTATATTAGTTTACTGGGCACTTTTCTTTTTAGTTCTGCCAGACTGCTTATTGCAGAGGTTAAGTCAGGCGTGCTTTTTAGTTCTGCCTGACTGCTTATTGCTGAGGTTCGAATAATCCACCTCATGCACCTCCGAATGATGGAGCTAGGCCTTCACCACAGTCGTAGTAGTGGCCGAGATAAGTGCACGCTGTATTTTTTTCATTTGTTGTTC